TGTACAGTTCTAGCCGATCTCCTAAGACCGCCCAGCGAGAGCTCTGCTCGTTCAAGCTTGTTCCAACTATTTCTGTCTTGCTCACGCCTAGTGTGTATTCTTTCTATCTTCGCGCAGATTTCTTCAAGGTCACAATTCTAACAAATTGAAATAGACTGAAGCTACTTAAGTTCAAATTTTTATAAAATTACAACGGGAACATGTCAAAATTAGGACATAAAGGGAGGGGGATTGAAATAAAAGTACCTATTTGAGATCCTTATTAATGAATTTCGAAAATATAAATAATAATTTAAATTTAAAAAATCGCAGCTATATGTACTTCACTTATATCAAATTATAGTCTCAAAATAGTCGTTAAAGTTCATTGTGACACCGTCCATATTATAAAAAGTCTGGGATGTTTTCAGTTAAATCATGGAGTATTTTTGTATCAATAGATATACACCGCAAAAATTTGAGATTTCAGAAGTTATGTTTTAATGAGAAACTAAGTAATAAAATCGCTTTTTGTACTTAAAAAATAAGTGAAATTGTTATCGTTTATTTTAGAAGTAAATAGTAAAAACAAATTCTTCCACCACTGAAACACACAAATAAGTGAAATTGTTATCGTTTATTTTAGAAGCAAATAGTAAAAACAAATTCTTCCCCCACTGAAACACACGTAGAAAATCGAACATTAATGACTCACCCTGTATATGTTCAACACTGTTACTAATTTTAACGCTGCATGTGTTCGTGTATAAATATTTTAACCTGGACAATGTGCAATAATTTTCTCTAATACTCTATATAGACAGACATGCCCCTAATTTCTACTATTATCCTTTGTATGCTGTTACATGACCCACCATCCATCGCAAAATATATTTTTTGAAAAAATTTAGTTTGAAGTAATATCGCGACTGTCCAAAGAAGAGAACACACTTTCTTCCCAAAATAACCGAATACAATTTTTAAATTTTAATATGAAAAAAATCATTTGTCAATAAAAAGAATGAAAAGAATAAGCCCGTTCATGCTCAGGTAATTAAAAATAGTTTGAATGCATTTTTATTTTACTTATCAGTAACTCGTCTATATAATCTATTTGTTCAAGTTATACCCATGCGTATGTAAATTAATTTATTCAAAAGAACTTACATTATCCGCTTTCACTATTTATCAAGGTGAACCTGAACTTTGGTTGTTGTGCAAACACGAATTTTAATTTTCCGTTTCTACTCTTCGACATTAAAAATATATAATAAATATATATCTAAACGCACTTCTATATATCTATTCTTGGGTGACTTTATAAAAAGGAACTAACATTTGATTGCAGAATGTTGTAATTACTAACGAAAATTAACAAAAATTAACGGGAAATAGTTGTAGTTGTAGAATAAGTAGTTAGATCAGTTATGAAGTACAGAATACCAGACATTGAATCTGTAATCAGAATCAATTTCTGTCCTTCTGGAATTTTTTTCATTAAATTCTTCCGTCCTTTTTGCATTTCATCCGGTTTTAAATTGATGAAGAAATTTGTAAATGATTAAAGTGAAACTTAAGGAACGGAAGATACCCGAATGCATACTTTGTATCGTAGATTCATTGAAGTGTATATTAGTACAAGAAAATTACATCACATCAAATTAAACAATTACCATCAACATTAAAACATTTTTTTCGACATAATAAATTATCGATATTTCAGTCGCATGGCCATCAAAAGCATTAAAATCGTTTCAAATAACATTTTGTATTATTTCACAATCAACCGCAGTGTTAATTGATTTTCATTTTTTCCAAGAATCATACATTTTGATTACATATTCATTAATTAGCTGCATTTTCGAAATAGCTTCCAGCTTGGTATCGAATCCTAAATTCAAAGAACCATCAGACTATTTTATTAAATCAATTTACTCTGCACTTGCTGGTA